GCATTGCTTTGCTAAGCTTAATTTTAATACCCCGTGCCCAATATTTTTCCTGCCTTCTCTCACTGCCTTTGCAGGCTGTGCTTTCCTTCCACAGCTTCTCTGCCGCATCTGAACTGCCTTGGGTCAGCAAATCTTCTCCTCCACCTCATGAAACTCCCCTTCCTAGTTCTCTCAGTCTTTTCGGCTGCATCTCTGACCTCCCCTAGCCTCATTTTTCACCTTCTCAGCAACCTCTCAGCCCTCAGTGGCTGCATTTTTCATCTGCTTTGGCATGAAAACATGGCTCCAATTAGTTGGAAAGGTGGTATGGAGAGGGAGAGGTGCAGAGGCAGCTGGATTGGCCAGAGAGGGAAGCAAAGCACTTCTTTCTCTCTCTGGGCACCCCAGCTACCCAGGAGATACGGTGGCTTTCCTGGTTGAATGCTCTGGAGTTGGGGAGAAGGAAGGGAGAGCTTTTTCCTACTTCTCCAGACTTGCGAATACAGAGTTAAGCCAGAACCCTGAGCTTTGCACCACGTCAGTTTTAGGCACAAGCCATAGCTGGTACTACCCAGCTGCTTTCTCCCAACACAGTGGAAACCCACTAGTCCTGAGCAGCGGATGGGGGAGGATGCGGCAATGGGCCACTTGCAATCTCCCGCTCACTCTTGAGATTTCGCAGAAGCAAGCTGAGCAAAGCCATGTGTTTTAAGGAACCACTGGAACAATTTTAAGTGAGCGAAGATATGCAGAAGCAGAAGTCCTGGCAAGCCTTTATTCAGTTCCCCATGTAAGGGAGGAAAATTATGAGCATGTATATCCCATCTGACTGTTCCCAGGCCAATCTTTAGGTAGAGTTTAGCCATTGTCCAGCTTTTCCAAACCTTCAGCCCCACATCTGGTCAGCTGGCCCCTTCCCGCAGCCAAGTGTCGGGGGTCTTCCTTTCAGGGGACGTTGGCCAATCTGCATACAATCGGCGGTGTGGGTTGAAGCTGAGGTCACTATTGAAATCGTGTGTTTCCAACAGTTGCTTGATCAAACAGAATTTACAGACCAGGACAGTTATTGACAGGCCTGACAAAAGTGATGCTCCGATGATTTACAGTCCAGGTGTGTTGTCAGAGCAAGATATTTACCTGAGATCCCAAGAACTGTTAAAATTTAATCCCTAGATACCTTTTCTGGCTTTTCTGCAGTGTCTTGAAGGGTAACACCTCCTGGACCATTTGAAGTCACCGTGCAAACAGCCCAGAGTTTAGGAACTTCCAGGGGAAATAAGAGCAGATACAGTGATTTAAAATGTTTTTAATGGGTATAAAATTGGAGAGGTGAACTGATATAGGATGCCCTTTCCCTTATCCCAAATGTACAATTCTCCACAATAAACCTCTTTGAATATATACACATTAGTCAGGATTATCTCTGAATGTCTAGCAGGCTAAGAATATGGATCCTGGAGACGTCAGCAGGAGGATTCATTAGAGGAGATGGCAAGTGCTTGGAAATGGGAAATGTATTCTCTTATAAACACAGCCTGCACTGGGGTTGACCTCAAGACTGAATAGAATTGGCTGGAGAGACGGGGAAGGCAGAGAAGGAAAACAATGTTCATACACAACCGTCTCCATTTTTTCTAACAAAACTCACTATCAAGGTTTCTGTAACTTCTCTTCATGTTCTAAATGAAGGGAACTCTCACCCTGAAAACTAAGACCACTGAAAACGGAATTTCAAATCAGCACGAGCTCGCTTTTTTTTTTTTTTTTTTTTTTTTTTTTTTTTTTCCCTGGTGAGAGAGATTTCATAGATTTTGGGGGTACATGATGTGACTCCAGGAGGGATTCCCCATCTGCTGATGTGCTGGAGCTTCCACATGACCAGAGCATCACACTTTTCTTGTCCCACAAACCAGATTATTTGTTATTGTCTCTTAAATCTTATTGGCCATTTCAACTCTGCATTATCAGAGCTCATGTATTTGGATGAATTCTTGTATTTGAAGTGAAAAAATGCTGCGAAATTTTAAAGGTCCTCTGTGACTGCATGGGCACACACACACACACACATGTTGTGGCTGGTTTTCCCTTTATTGCCACCTCTCCTTGCTCTCTCATTTGTTTATTGAGCAAAAATGAAAGGAGCTAGCACCGAGTATGAAAGGAACTCAGCAAGCCAACATTGACTCCTACCTCATATCTATTAGCTGTAAATTACTTTAACATGAGTGACATCACACTTGACTCTTGGTAAAACAGTGTTAAGTTAGTGGGTAATAAAACAGCTTGACACTAATGATGGGTTCTGCGTGATAAATTACTGTCAGTGATCAGATAAGGGTTCTTGAGACTAACCTTGAACTAAATCTGTTTTGTTGCTACATCTTGTGTGCAGTGTTCCACTTCTTACCGCGGGGATTAAGGGCTCAGAGCCCAATCCTGCACCGTGCTCGGAGGCGAAGGGGCTGCTCGTGTGCAGGAGCATTTCCAGAAGCGGCTTCCAAGCATCAGGCTGCTCCCACAAGTGGAGCAAGGAGGGTTTGGCCCTAACCTTGAGAGCAGCTGTCCAGTTACGCGGGCCTCATGGCCAGTCTTTCAGATGCAGGAACGGTTTCCAGCACTGACTTAAGTATCGAAATCTCTGATATTTTTCATAAAAAAAAAAACCAACCAAAAAAAAAATTACACAACTGAGGGGTGGATCCTGAAAGTTTCATATTTTTTTGTGTGTGTGTTTGATATGATGGATTTCGTTATTGGATGATATTTTTTGACCTATGCATTAGATCTTTCCCACAAACCACAGACGTCAATGACCTCAGTAGGAACAGAGAATGCTCAGCAGCTGGCAGGATCAGGCCCTCATTCAAAGAACTTGTTTTACTTGCAAAACTTTGGGAGAAAACTTTATACCCAAGAGCTGGGAGCAGGCCAAAGTCAATGTAACGCATGGGATTTTGAATATTTTTTGCATGTATTTTCTTTGGAATCTAACCAGGGTGCTGCTTAGAAAAGGCTTCACAAATTGTTTTACATTGTTATTATTATTTGAGGCTCTGTTTTCATTTATCATTCAGGTAACGTGCTTGTGTGATTTTTTTTTTAATACTATTTCTTGTATAAACCATTGCATTAAAACATTTACCATCGTTCAATTTCATGCCTAATCATTGTTGTCCTGGCCTGTTGTATTACAACTGGCCTAATCCTGGCATACTTGTGTGTTATAAATGGCTTCAACAAAACAAGTTTTCACTGTGTTTATCCAGATACCTCATTCATCTATGATTGTGACAGACCTCATATTGAAGTGCACTGGTTTTAGTGCAAGTCATAATCAATTTATCATTCTGGAAAGTCCACAGTGAGAGGAGAGCCCTTGAGAGGATGGCTCCGGTGCAACAGAAAGAGATGACTGCTGGGGAAATAGCTGGAGATGTCTGGGTCTCCCAAGGAACAGGAATTATTGATCCATGGACATGACATCAGGGATGCAATTAATATGTTTCCTCTCTCGTTTTTTTGCTAAAATGCAAAATATTTATTGGTGCTTCCAACCGAGCAGTCAAGTAATGAAGAGCCCAGAGACACCATTTAAATCAAAATATTAACCAACCCCTATATTAATATAAGGTTAACGCACTGTTTATGGTGGGGGCATGGTGAGTTCTCCGTGAAGGGCAATCCTGAGGATGGAGATGAGGACTGGGCTCTGGCCAAGCGCTCTGGCTCTGGCCCTGCGCTCGGGGCAAGCGGCACAGGAGCGGGGCTGCTGGAGAAGTCACAGGTGTTCCTGCAGAAGATCTTCAACGAAGCAAAATCTGTTTTGTTCCACGCTCTTTTCCCATTAAGTCCCATTTTCTCAGAATTTGGCTGTTCAGTTCTGTTTGAAAGGAGTGGGCCTTTTTCTGCATGATTCAATTAAAAAAAAAAATTCTCTTGGCTTTTTGTTTGTTTGTTCATTTGTGTTCCTTCCTATCTCATATCTTGGTTCCCTCTGGAAATAAAAGGTAAGGAAAGAGAAGGAAAATAACACTTCTGTTTGGAAAGAAGGGGAGGAGTCTGTGTGGGAGATGTCAAATGGAGCAGAAAATCCCTGGACTTTATCCAGAAACTCCCATCCACTTGAGCTGTGGATACAATCAGTTTATCAAAACACCCTCTGGTGCATCACTGTGAGAGAGCAGAGTCATTGGGAAAGGTTTTAAAGAGGTCCCCTGGGTTTATATGGCAGAGGTGAGATTCTAATCTATATTTCAGCCTCTGTATGCAAAGCAAAAAGGTGCAAGGGGAGATAGGGAGGGGCCGACACCCCCTGACATACCCCGATGGAGCCAGGAGGAGATTTGGGTGTGGTGGCACTGGGGACGCAGGGGACACCAGGGCTGCTGCTGCCAGCTGAGCCTCTGCTGGAGGTGGAGCTCTGCTCCCTCCTGCTGCCCCCTCACATCCCACTCACCCCAAAACTCACCCATGCCCAAAGCCTGATGGTGCTTCCTCTCCCCTCCGCTGCCATGTGCTTCCTGGCCAGACACTGTGCAGAGGGGCGAAGCCTGGAGCTCTCCTGACCAGCGATGAATTCGCTTTCGTCAGCGTTGAGGACCTACTTGCAGCCCTCCTGTCCTCCCACCGCTCAGTACCGCCGCCAGGTTCCCACAGTGCGGGTTTGGGGGGCACTGGAGATGTGAAATCCGCAGCAGGAGCTGGTCTGCACCCCAGATTTGCTGGCAGCTCCTCCGAGCCCTGCCGCCTGGAGGGGAAGCGCCACGCCAGCAACATTTGGGCAAGATCTGCAGGCGTAGCCAGAGCTGAGGAATTCCTTCTTTCTTCCACCCTTTGATTTGCTGAGTGCGACTGGGGGCACAGATTTTGCATCCCCGCTTCTGACTAAGCAGCCCATGAATGTGTCACACACATGCTCACAGACGTGTCCAGGCTTAAGCGCTTTTGTCTCCAACATGTCCCTCTTTTTTTGCTTTTCTTTCCCTTCCTCCCCTTACCAGACATAACATAGCCCAACTGACCAGAGACACCGTGACTACCATGATGTAGGAAAGAAACAATCTCCGGCTGGAGCGGCAGGCTCCAAACAGCTTATCCGACAGATGCATGAGCAGGAAATGCAATATCATGTCCAATTTCTCATACCTTATTCATGACTGTTGCAATCACAGAACACATGTAGCCCAGCGATACGTGGTGCATAATGCTTTCGGTGTGTCTTTCCTCTTCTCTTGCTCCAAAACAGGCGCTTTTGCTGGGAGAGAAGAGGGCTCCCGAGAGGTGCTGATTTGGGCCAAGCTGAGAAATACCCGTGGGCTTTATGTAAAACAGCCCAGGCACCGAGAATGGAAATGTGCCCACATTTGCTTTGCTAATTAACCTTAGCTTGGGCTCAGAGGGACTTGTTCTGGATGGGTAAGTGAGATGAGATGGACCAGAGCCCAAACGGCTCTTGCCTGCTCTGCATAGCTGCCTCTGGGGCCCAGGGAGGTTTTTCTCTTATCCTTTTGGACTCGGATCTGGTCTCTCATTTCCCCAGCAGCACCCTGAGTCCATCAAGCAGTGAAAACCCTTGATATCACCACTTCCCCAGGCACAAGGAGGACCTCCTGTCCCCGACGTTCCAACCTCCCCCCAGCTAGCCTTTTCCTAAAACCGGAGCAAGGATGAAAGGCCAAATTCCCAGAGAGCATCACGGCACCTTGGTGCTCTCAGACTTGTGCAAGGAAAAAGTTATTTATCCCCATCTCCTGTGTGTCAGAAGCCTCAGCCAAGGTCCTCGAGCTGCATCCTATAGAAGCTGTTCCTTTGCTCTGCGGGAGGAACATTTCAAAGAGCAATGAAAAAGGTTTTATTTTGTTGGGGTCTGTAACTTGGTTTGGGTGCTGGCCTGGGCAGAGCAGGACAACGTAACTCTTTCAGGAAGGAATTAGGACCAGTTTCCACGCTGGGATCCTGGGGTCAAGCACCCTTCGGGTTTGGCTCCGTATATCCCTGATATCTCTAATACCCAGTTTCAGCAAAACCATTTTTATTAATCTAATAATTCCACCACCCACCCCACCCCCCTTTCTTATACTGTGCCAGAGAAAAAAGGATTGAGTGACAGACTAATCCAAATTAAACAACTCTGGCAGCGAGGGCAGGAGAGTAAAGATTGTGCCCCAAAACATGGCCCTATGCAAGGTTACAATAATATAATCATTGCGAACTGCGGGAAAGATGAGTTCAAAGTTTTAGAAAAATCCCACCTGGGTGTGTTTTTGTGGAAACACCTATTTCTGCCTATCAGCACCAGTCACACAAGAAAAATTCAGCAAGGCTCAGTCCCATCCACTCATTAAAAAAACCTAATTCCTGCAGTTTAATGCAAATGGTGAGGTTCTTCTGAGTGGCGTTCGTTGTGCTTAAAAAGGTACCCAGAAATGTAATAATAATCATTGCAAAGTTTCTACATTCTTGCCCAGATTCCAGGGTTTTCCTTTAAGCTGTCTGGCCGTACTGTAAAAGTTGGTAATAAATATCTGTCTTTGGTATAATAAAAGCAATGTTTATATTCTTGACAGAATGCATTTGTGAACTTACAGTCATTAGAGATGTAAACTGAAGGCAAGAAGATAACCTCTCTCCCAAATGTTCTATTTATTTCTGTAAAGTAATTTGTATGATTTATCTTATAGACTAAGGTTTATGGTTCACTTTGAACTCCAGGTTCTTAACTCAGCAATTGCCTGTTTGGGCTGAAGCGTATAAGTGATGGCATGACCCAAAGTGCTAGATGAAAGGAAAAAGACAAAAACAAGGCAGGCTTCTGGGATTTTAACCATCATTTCTATATTCCATTGACATCTCTGGGTTAAATATTTTCCTTTAGAGGCCAATATGATCATTCCATCTGTATGCCATATCTCCCAGTGACAAGGCAAAGCGCAGAACACGGGCATCTTCAATGAGGCATGCCAGGATGCGTCCGACGGGGAATGTGAGGAGGTCAAATGCTGGTTTTAGTCATAACTCCCAGTTTACACATACTCATAAGCAAGACGGCATCTATTTTGTGATTCATAAAGGAAGCATTTGATGTAGGACTCTGTATCGCTGCTGTACCGGGATGGAAAGCCCATGTGTTTTTTTAAACAGGCTTCTAAGTCATGTTTGCAAGAGATAATATTTAATACTAAATAGATGCAACGTTTCTGACTTTGCAAAGTCTAAAAAGAAACTGAGAGATGTCACCTGCCTCATTCATAACAGGAGAGCTCCTACAACACTCAGGTTTTGGGCAGATGGACACTATGGTGATGTGTCTCAAAAGCCAGAGCCGCGCCAGGGCTTCTGCAAAGCTCAGCACAGAGCGGTGCGGAATAGGTGTGGTGGTCCCAAATTTGTGTTTGGTTTTGTATTTTTGTCACCTTTTTATAAGTAACGTCTCATTCTGACGTCTTGTAAGAAGGCGTTTGAGTGTTCTTTGCTAAAATAGTTAAGGTTGGTTTAACTCTTCCCACCCCTGAGTGCATCTTTCCGTAAATGGGAACCACATCATCAAGGAGAACTGCTGGAGGCTGGTTCTCATCACGTTGTGGATGCTAAGAACTGTTCCTGGGGAAATGCTGGCTTGCATTTGGCCCTGACTTTAGCAGATTCCTAACAGGAGGATGCAGTTCAACACAACTCTTTTCTCAGCACCTCCACTAGTGCCATCAGAAGGGATGAACCAATTTCTCCATCACTTAGCCTGACAAAAATGCAAGACACTCAAGCGTGTGTCACGACATACATCCGTTTTCTTGGAATAAGTAAGAAAACCTGGGATAGGAGGAAAATTATCCTTCATTCCCAGACCCAGATGGATGGTGGAGCTTATATTCTGTAGGAAACTTAAAGTGTTCAAACCATTTTTCACTCCAAATCAGTGTCAAAAAGTAACGTCCCCTCCAAAAACAGCTCGTAAACTGGAAATTTTGAAAATTTGCCATTGGGAAACATCTGAACGGGTCAATAATAGAAAAATATATATGTCATGATATATATCATGATCTATATATATGAAATAAATACCAGAATAAAACCAGGAAAGTAAAACTATTATTTTTGTTGCATTCCTCCTGCACATTTTCAGAGCAGCGGGGTACCTCCATGTTTTCAAGATGCTGAAGAACAAGCACAGGTGATTTTAGGCAGATTATTATGCTTTAAAAAAACTATTGTGGGAACTTTTAGTTTTCTGGGCAGCTCTAACATGGACCAGTGAGATGGCTTTGAGAGGTATTGGTAAACTGAGGAGCTATCTGGTGTAGCATGCGTGGTTCAGACACCAAACACACGCAGCATGCAGGGACAACACCACCCTCTCCAGATCTCTGCCGTGACGTTAGTTTAGCACCAAGACTTGTTTAGTTGATATTTTATCTGGTGGCACTGGAGCATAATTCAGGCTGGTAGCTGTCAGGGTCCCTGCAGAAATCCCTCTCAAAGGCTGCGGGATCTGGCCTCCGGCTCTCACCCAGATTAGCAGGAAAAGATGCTGTGGATAGGGAGCAAGCTGAAAGTTATTGAAGCTGTTTAATCTCCTGGCTAATCATTCACATACGCAATTACCTGCCCTCCTCGGCACTTCTGCTATCTATCCCGGCTGAATACGATTTCTGAGAGCGAGGAAGTGTTGCGTGCTTAGCACTGGCTATATTTTGGTGCATTTTGTTATCAATATGTGGAATTCTGTCCAGTCCTGGACGTGAAAAATCCATATCTTATCTGGCCTCTGCCAGGTCAACATTACTCACAATTCAGACACCATTTACCCTGCAGGGCTGAGACCTGTGTGATGCCTGGCTCTGACCAGTACTATTATTCACTTACTCTTGAGAACACCGTAATTAATCAGAAATACATGTTAACACCCTGTCTTCTCTCCCCTGCCTCCATCAGAAATCCCTACCAGCCACCCAGCTTCTGAAAACCACTGGATTAAGCCCTTACTGAAGATAATGGGAAAAAGCTCAGCAGGAATTCATCATACTGGGGGTCAGCCTTCTGCTTTTTCTTGCCTCCTAAGGTAGGCAGGAAGCCTGGAAAATGGGAGCAGGGTTAGGGTGCTACCAGCTGCATGTGCCTGGTGTTTGCTGTGCAGGACACGGCCATCGCTCGCTATGCAGAAGTGAAACAGAAACTTCCCTGGAGCTGGTTTAAGTGGAGACAGAGTTTGATACCGAGTCTGCTGTCATGTCAGAGAATTATTATTCAGTACAAAAAAAAATTGCAAAGGGAAGATGGGAATACCCAGTTTGGAAACATCTTCATGATGTGCCTTCCTTTGCAGGTGTAAAAACTCTCCCTTTTTTTTGTGAAAGATATAACACACTGATATCAAATAAGATATTATACTTACAAGTTTTCCTACTGATGTAGCACCTGAGATGTCACCCACCAATTAATGGGGATGACAAAAAGAACCCCTGCGGGCACGCCTGGGGCTCCTGGCTCCAGGACACCCATTCTTGCCCCAGGGATCTTCTTCTCCACCCAGTTTCTTCAGGACTAACAGGAAAACCATCCCAAAGCAGGGGGGGACCGAGATGCCCCCCACCGCAGGGATTTAAGCTATCCTGCCCAAATTCCTATTAGCGCATGTATTTAACCCGAAACATGGAAAATCAGAGGTAAGAGCTGGCCCCCGCGCCGGGTTCTTGGGAGCCAGTGCAGGCAGGAGCAGCTCGTACAATGGACCATCTGTTTCCCTCTGTTTTTATTCCCAGATTGGATCAGCCAGGCTAAAGAAAAATAGAGCCGGAGCGCCAGTGCCACAGTCCTCACGGCACAAGGGGCACGGGCATCGGGGAGGTTCAGAAAGGCGTAGTCCCTTGCAGAGGCAAGTGGAATGGGGACAGTTCACTGCTCGGTTCGGAGAATTAACAGGATCACATCGGAAATGTGAAAATTATACCAGAAACCAGGAAAAATGAGAAATTCCCCCAAACACTGAGTGTTGCACATTTTGTTAGACAGCTGCTTCACCCTGGCTCTGGGCTGTGGAGAGTTTTCTGTATTTCCCTGGTCATGGGGTAGTTGGCTGCTCAGAGATGGGGTTGTTCTCTCCCGAGATTGTGCACATTTGCCCCAAAATGTCTCT